GTACAGATAAAAAAAATTTTCTCTAAGAAAAAAGTCTTGGAGTTTAATCTAGGACTGACCTATCCAGCCTAGATTATGATCATAATCTCTACTTTATATTTATTAAAAAAACACGAGAAAGATTGAACAATAAATAATAATAAATTATAAATAAATCATAAATAAATGAAAAATCACATGAAAATCGTGTTTCTTGGGGAAAATTTATCCACAAGTTTTTTTTTCTCTATTTATGATTTGATTTTTATGCGACTATGAACGAACACGATTGCAAAATGATTTAGTGTTGATATCGCATTTCGCTGATTTTTTCATCATTAATTCGTACAGATGAGAAAGTTTATCCTCTAGGAAAACTGTTGTGAAACGAAATCAGTTGCCGATCTATTTTAAGATTATGATTATAGATCTTGAGTCTACCATATTTATTTTTCAGATATATTTATTAAGGTGAATATATTTACCTTAATAAATATATCTGAAAACTAAATAAATAATTTAATTAATTTATAATAATATTTGTACTATATATAGTATCGATATTATTATAAATTAATTAAATTATTAATATGTATAATACAATATTTTTATTAATAATTTATTAATATAATGAATATAATATCAATATTATTATTTAAATAAATTAAATTACTGATATTCTTGATAATATTAATAAAATTAATAATTTAATAATAATTAATATTATTAATATTATTAAAGATTTCCATGATTTTTTTATCTCTAATTCTTTTATAGTAAAATAGTTCATACATTTCCATGAAATCATTAAATATTTTTTTTTTAATTAATTTTTTCTTATAAAAAAAATACGTCACATGATTTTTCTCCTAATTGTTTAAAAAATTGAAAATTATATAATTCCATAATTTTGGCATGATGAGGTTTTCATTATTGCTTAGACATTAAAAAATCGTTAAGAAAAAATGCAATCAGTAAACTACGCAATTAACTACCAGCTAATCTTGTATATCCAAAAAAAAAAAAAAATTAATCTCCTATCCGTGAATTCTGTAATAAATTCATAACATCACATGTAGAAAATCCCCCAGGCAATTGTTTGTTGAATATTCTCAGATAAGTGGAATGATTCCATTATATTTGAACCAAAAAATATTCCGACAGTCGAGACAGAATTTACGGTACATAAACCATCTAGTTCAAACAAAGTAACAACGAAACGATAGAAAAATATGACAACTGTCGCGTCTCTATTTTTAATTGACGACTCAAATTTACAAAAGGCTTGAATGGGAAGCCAATGTTATCAATTTCATCAGCTGTTTTGATTACGCAATTAGAGTTCAAGAGCAACAAGAGCACTTTGTTTGCTCCAGTTTTTCGGCGCCATAAAACGTCGGACAGATTAAACTGAATTTCGTTCATTGTGACTTTCCATTGAGTATTTTATTTTTATTTTTATTTTATTTCAATAACAGGCTGTGATCCCCAACGCGTCTGAGTGTGATTGCAAGGCTCTCGTGATCGTGCCCTGGGCCTCACTGGGTAATCGCGAATGACGTATGATTAATGAAATTTTTATTCACTCGAGTGAGAAAGCAAATCGAAATCAATCTGGACGTGTAAACACATAGGAATGCTCGTTCTAATGCGAAAGGCGTCCGATAATGCAACCGTAAAACCTGGAAATACTGGCGCCACGTTCTGTACTCAGTTGTCCCCTACGTGATTTTTCTTCTGGAAATAACATCGCGTTTAAGGATAAAATAGAGAAATTCTCCGCTGCACTGTTTAAATAAAATTGACGATTTTTTTCACGTAATTAGACTGGGATTCAAAATACCACAAACTAAATAAGAATTTTTAAAGAAAATCAACACTTAGGGTAACAGCGTTATCTTTAGTTCAATGTTTTCAAATTTTTCGGCTACGAGAACGAACGCGCGCTACAGCGCGCTGTAATTATAAAAATCGTCATTAAAAATTGTTAATTTAAGTGAGTTTCAAATTCAAATTAGCCGCCTCAAACGACTGAACCAATGAGAAATAAGCGTGACAGAGTTTCGAGATATCGATAGTCTCGATGTTTATCCTTTTTAGAATAGGACAGAGTTTCGAGATATCGATAGTCTCGATGTTTATCCTTTTTAGAATAGGATAGGATTGCGCTCTTATAAAGCAATGATGGGTCTTGTTCGTTAAATTATGGAGCATTCCTCAGGAGATATCGAAACATTCCGTTATTCTTTCGCTTTTTGATTTCTGTCTTTTCGAGAGAACAGAAATAAAATAATAGTTACTAGTTTTTTTTTTTGGAATTGTTAAATAGTCAATGAAGTTTATGATATTTTTCAATATTGTGGGAATAAATGTTATTGTGATATTTGGTGATTGTTTCCATTGTTTTAAATAATTCAGTGAATCCTGTTTTCGCTGGAGAATTATTTACTCGCTATTTTGTAATGGTTCAGTCAATGAATAAGGAAAATATGTTTAAATAAAAATGACGATTTTTCTCACGTAATTAGACTGGGATTCAAAATACCATAAAGTAAATAAGAATTTTTCAGGAAAAACAACACTTAGGGTTACAGCGTTATCTTTAGTTCAATGTTTTGAAATTTTTCGGCTATTGCGCTCTTATAAAGAAATGATGGGTCTTGTTTGTTACATTATGGAGCATTCCTCAGGAGATATCGAAACATTCCTGTTGGATTATTGAGTTTAATTTATTCTTTAAGTGACTGTTACAAAAATGAATCGATATGGATGTTGACTGAAAGTCACTTGAGAGACTACATAAACATTAACAATGATTTCTGAGGAAGAAAGAACAGAGAGTTCATTCATTAGGTGATGGATTTGTTTCTCGTCTTTGTGACTAGTCTTTAGTCTCCTGGAGATTTCCGTAGAGTACAGACGTTTCTTCCTCGTGCCATTTTTTTTGAGAATAAAGAATTAAAGTTTAATCCACGGCTTTATAGTATTATTTATATCTCCCATATCCAATAATTCCGTTATTCTTTCGCTGTTGATGAGCGAAACTGCAATGTTGGAAATATTTTTGACGTTAAAACGAATGCTGTATCTCCGTTATTTTTTATATCTAGTTTAACACATACCGAATAGTTCCCCACCATTTGTTAACAACAACCATACTAAAAACCCTCATTCCACTTTACCACTTTCCATTCCCAGGAAATCCTACGAATCGTTATTGTTGGAAATATTTTCGACGTTGAAACGAACAAGAGACCCGTTGTAACAGATCACAGGGAATAATGGAAACATTTATGCTGTTTATAATCGAAACACCTGGACCAGCCCCATAGACAAAGGGCCTTATCCTGTGGGTAGACCTGTCACCCTGGACGAACTGGTGATCAGGGACACTTGGAGACGAACTCTCGAGCAAGCAACATTGGACATTAACAACCTAGCTTTTTGCAATACATCACATTTTAGACAATTAATTGATATTCATTCTTTTAACTTTCGAATGATACACCGTTCATTTGATTGCGTTCATTCTGTTCTGAGTTAGGAATCAATAAACGTACGAGTCAATTTTTTTTTCATCCCTTTGTTTTTGGTAGTTATTAAAAATAGTATTTTTCACGCCTAGGACGAAAAAAGTGAATCTCACGAATTCGGCTTTATAGTCCGAGCCGAAGATGAGGATCATAACGTGCATGAGTCAGAATGATCTTTTTTGCCGTGGCTATAATGCTATTTTATGTCATTATGACCGAAAACGCGTTTTTATTTCAGCGAAGCGAGGTTAGAAAGGCGTTTTATCGGCCGCTATGACATACAAATTTTTTATTAAAATAGAAAATCATATGCAGTGCTCTTTTATATTTTTTTATTTTTAACGGAATTCGTTGCAAGTTCTTCCAAGAATTTGCAGCTGGCGATTGCCCGAGGGCCTTCAGCCAAGTGCTCTTTTAGATTATTACCCAAAAATGAGCTTTCAAATTATCCAACGCTCGTTGAGCTCTGATGAGTATTTTTCATGTAAATGCCGGTTGAAACATCAATTTATTATTTATTTCAATGGTATCCAAACAACGAAGGACAATAAGAAAACTTCTACTTTGTGAAAATATATAAAAATTATCAAAGATAAGAAAAAAAATTCAAATCAGACAATTAGAATGAAAAAAAAATAATCAGTAATTATTCAATATCCCGCCACTTGTTATGATTGCTTCAGATTAATCTTCTTGGTTGAACGATACCGAATATATGATCACAGATAATAAAAATGCTTCTCAATACAGCTCGTGCGCTCCACGTGCGCCTGTGATATTCCCCTTAGTAGGCGAAAGTTTTATTTTCATGTATCATCCCATAAATTAAGTTCGGGGGAATTTTTCATGCTTCTAAATTGACCAGGCGAAGATATTCATAGACAGTTTTGAAAAACATTTACTATTCTTTATCATGATGTATGACAAACCTAATTGCACTGAATTTTCATCAAGTTATAGCAGGTAGTTTCCATTTTTTACGTTATGTCACACCCCAAAAATGAGTGTTTGCCATTTATCGAGACTTTAGACTGCACCAGCGGGGATATATCACATGTAGATTTGAAGATCTGGATGAGATGACACAGAATAAAGAATGAAAATAGAAGATTTTACGCATGTTCAATTCCAACGCAATCTGAGAAATTTAAGGCCCGGATGGACTGTCTGGAAAAGATAATTTACTCCAAAATTGGGACTTCTAATTACTCCGTCAATTAATAGTTTTTTCCGATAATTGTTAGCTAGCGGCCTAGTTGATTAATTGCCAAAGTAATTAGGAATCCGAATTTCGGAGTAAATTATCTTTTCTAGATAATCCACGCGAGCCTTAAATCACTTTTCCGGTTTTTTCATTTCGTCCGTTTTCGCTATCTATTATGTTCCAAATCCATTCGATTATGTATGAAAAAAATACTTTTCCAGTAATCCCCCACTTGCTTAAGACTATTTTGATCATTAAATTGAGATAAAAATATAATCCTGAAATTTCTAAACATTCGTATTTAATTCATTTATTGACAGGGAAGGAATGTTTCCGGAAATTGGAAAATAAAATTAGAACATTTAATTGATAAGATAGAAAAACTTGAATCTCCTAATAAATCCGCTCCTCAATCAATTGATCTTCTGGAAAGTTTCAAAGATTGTTAAGCCCCGAGTCCTCGGAAAGACTCGATTCAAACAATTCCACATATTCACAATGATCTCGTTAATTAAATAATTCCGCAGTTTATCTCCAATGGAAGATGAAGAAATAGAAAATAAATGTTTTAAAAGGATTTTCTTTGTTACATTTGGCGTGAATAAAGAGCCGACTAATTAACAAAATTATGTAATTTCTGGTATTAGTAGTTATGAGTAATTACGTGTATCATGCAGTTGACAGTGCACAATCCAATATTTGATCCACAAATTGATTTTCTCGCAGTTGATGGAAATTATCAGTTAGAGTACACGGACAATATCACCTTCCATCTCCCCCCGATTTTTTGAATTCAGGGGGAGAGAAACTATTCAATAATACAGAGTTATGATGATTTTCTTTTTAAAAAAGTACGTGTCTTAAGTACAAGTTTTTCAAGGAGATTCCAACGAATTCCCTCCAGTTGTCGCAGAATAAGAAAATATCGTACAATCGAGGTAGTATGGCCATTCACTCCAGAGATTATTTCAAATGCTTTCGAGATTTTATTTATTTCGAAAAGACAACATGAATTATTCCGAATATTTATTCAAAAATCATTTTTTCATAACTGAATGTTATTGTTTGATTTCTGTCTCTTAGAGAGAACAGAAAAAAAATAATAGTCACTAGTTTTTTTTTTGGAATTGTTAAATAGTCAATGAAGTTTATGATATTTTTTAATATTGTGGGAATAAATGTTATTGTGATATTTGTTGATTGTTTCCATTATTTTAAATAATTCAGTGAATCCTGGTTTCGCTGGAGAATTATTTACTTGCTATTTTGTAATGGTTCAGTCAGTGAATAAGGAAAATATTTCGGAAAACTTATTTGTTGCTAATTGATAACAAGAGAACAAGTAACGAAAAGTGATGGATCCGTTGAAAAAACTATTGCAACGAGTTTAACAGTAAAAAAATTGATTTATGTAATTTGCACATGAAAAATCGCCATTCACTCGGTTTTTCCAGTATTCACTTTACTCATTGAACCAAATATTCACGTGAAAACTCAAATTACTTTTTTGTAACTGGCAATTCGCCAAAAATCAATACTTTTTAAGATCTACTGCTATTAAAAAAAATCAAAAAATGTTTCTTTCCTTTTTCTCTCATGATTCTCCTTTAACTCTCAATTTATCTCGAAAACCATCGGTTTCACATAAAACTTCCAAATAACTTTTTTATAGTCGAAAAAATTCCCCACAAAAAAGTCTTCTGACATTTCTCAAAAAAATCAATATCTTTCGAAATCCCCTGATATTTACAAAAAAACAAATCCGACTCATCCTCTTTTCTTGTTCATTATCAATTTATCTGTAAAAACCATCGGTTGTACTTAGAAAAATTCCCCAAAAAAGGCATTTGCCAAGATAATAAGCCCCCAAAAATGTCATCATAAGAAACTCTTCCTGAACTCCGCAGCCTAAAAAAATCCTGAAAAATCAAAAAATCTCAAATGCATTTGAAGTCACTCACCCGATGAACCCCCACACCACTCAAACAAGTAACATTAACTGCCCGATACAAAAGTTTGTGCCTCTCCCTCGTCCCTCTTGCCCTCCTGATTGCCCCTATTACCCTCATTAACATCCATCCCAACGGAGTTGTGCTCCTCCTCACTCTCCCCCTCATCTTTACTGACAACAGGATGTTTCTTCATATGAGTCGTCAAATTACCACTGTGATAAAACTCCTTCCCACATACTTTACACTGAAATGGTTTAACACCAGAGTGTATCCTCTCGTGTATCGATAAATTACCACTGTGTCTGAATTCTTTACCGCAAACACTGCATTTGTACGGTTTAACCCCAGAGTGGGTGCGTAAATGGGTTGACAAATTGCCACTGTGACTGAACATTTTACCACATATTTGGCATGCGTATGGCCTCTCACCGCTGTGTGTTCGCATATGAATTGCCAAATTACCGCTGTGTGTGAAGCATTTTTCACACTGGGTGCACTTGTAGGGTCTCTCACCGTTGTGGGTTCGCATGTGGATGAAGAGATTGCTCTTGTGACCGAATTCTTTGAAGCAAATTTCACACTGGCACTTGTGCTTCTTTGTCGAGCCCGGTCCTGACGTTTTCGGGGGCCTGCCTGGCCCATTTTGCTTTGGGGGTGATGTTTGGGGATTTTGGGGGTCTGAGGGGTCCAACTCCAGCCTCTGATGGGACAACAGCTGGGGCTGGGGTACGCAGGACACGTGCTGGCCCAGGGATGTTGACAATTCGTGCTGCTGACTCAGCTGGAACAGCGGCGTTGGCTGCAAGTACGGTGATACCTGCTGAAAGAAAAACATGTTTTTTTGCATTTTGTTAAATGAAAGTTCTGACGTTCAATGTTAAAAATCACTAGTTACGTGGATATCCTGAATGTATTCATAAGTTTTTTTTATCGAAAAATAATCGAGACAATCAAAAATCGCGTGTAAAATAATGACGATCTACGTTAAAATCCAATAACAAGAGCCACAAGTTTCTCGAAAGATTAAATGAACCGTCACTCATTGTGTGATGCATCGATGAATCGTATTTCCTCAATATTTCAAAGTTCAAACTCATTTCGATTACGTGTTTTCAATGATACCTAGGGGAAAAATAGCTTCTGCTTAGTAAATATAGTTTAGTAATCTTTGGAACAACAAATTATTTTCAGATGAATTGAGTAAATAACATTAACAATTTTAATAATTTTTTTTTTACTTTTTGCGGACCACAAAGGCACGTCCATAAGAGTTTCAAGGTCAACCTTGGTTATGGGGATGCCCAGCCAGGGAGTGATTCGGAGTGAGCGCAGCCCGAAGGACTAGTCTGATACACGGATGGTTCCAGGATGAGCGACGGAGTGGAAGCGGGGAATAGGTCTGAGGGATCTACAACTGCACGGACCCTGAGAGCCTGTACCAGGATACTCCTGGACAGACAGGATAAGGGCAAGAAAATATACATCTGCTCGGATAGCAAGCGCGCGTTGAGGGCACGGCTGGGGCATGAAAGCTGCTCTCGATTAGTGAACAATTACACGGAGCTGATGAAGAGGATCGCCATTCACGATCAGCTAGAGGTGGTCTGGATCCCAGGCCACAGTGGCATCCTCGGTAATGTAAAATCCAATGAGCTAGCGGAAAATGAATGGCTAAATGTCACACCAGCAGGGGAAGCAGGGAAAGCTGGCATGGAAAGGCTTTACGAGTTTTCTCGCAAGGCTAATATACTGACACCTATGGACTAGACGGCTGCCCAGGGCAGAGTGGAAAATAGCTGAGAGATTCATTGCACTTTCTGAACTCCTGGAGGGAACGTCTGAAGACACTAGACCTAAAGCCTAAAAAGCTGAATAAAATCTAGATTTATGTATACTTTATTTATAATTTTTAGTGGATTGCTGAACTCACTGGGATAGATTGAGTGGTGGTCTGTCGCCCCTGCAGATCATTCTTCGACACCACCACTTCCTCGGCCATCTGTATTCCTGGATTTTGGCTCCAGAATTGAGGTAATTGTCTGTACATGTACTCAACGTCTTGATTCGTGAATACAGGGTATTCTACATTCCCCTGGGCACAATTCTGGCCATTTTGGCTGGAATCTTCAGCGTTGGAGAATTCTTGCTTAATCTGCACTGGACTGAACATCTGGTAGCCAAAAACAAATGAACTTTTAATGAGATAGAAATATTGAATTTTCCGAAAAATTCTGGAATAATAATAATAGGCACCTGTTGTAAATTTACGATATATGCTTTCAATGTCGCAACAGAAACATCAAATGCAGACAAATTATGACAGATTTTATTGTGTGACAAATTCTGAGGATTTTTCTCGAAGAATTAGCCGAAATTTGACAGATTCTGTCGAAAAATCGGCCAAAATTTGACACTTTCTATCAAAATTAGGCAGAATGTGTCACGAGCATTGCACGGGGTCTAAGAAACGAGAAAAATTCCGATGAAAAACTCACATTGACAGCTAAGTCGATCTGTCACAAGGTACGTTCATCACGTATTTCTACTGGTCAATCTACCATCGGACGACTGAAAAACAAACAAAGTAAGGTTAAAGATCATGAAAGGTTAGCTGACAGTCTTTAACAAGCAAAATGTCATAATCTCGCCCGAAATCCGCAGGCCTACGACAATACAAAATAGATATTCGCCAAAATCTCCTCAAGTTGCCATTCAATTCACTTTACCTTCGTTGGAATGGAACATATCCATTCATGTATGTGTGCGGTAAATTGCTGTGGAAAATATGTACGGCGCACTGAATTATCCTCTCAACTTTTTCTTCATCATTCTCACAGGCGTGGTAAAAAGCTCTCGATTATTCCAATCGATTTCAATGAACTCCACTAACAAGTGGTCTCCATCCAAGAACAGTAATTAATAGAAAAGCGTCAACAATTGGGAGAGAGAGAAGAGATATATTTGGTGAGAACAGGAGGAAAAAAATGAAGGACACGGAATGGAATTAGAGCGCACGACTACTGCGTCGAAATACGCGTGCGCAGGGGAAAATTCGTGCGTGCGCATGTGTGATTGAACGACTTATGGCGGCAAGTGTTCTCGACATTCAAAAATACTTTTAGCGGCCGTAATGCCGATAAAATTCCCGTTTTAAAATGCATTTGCGAATGTTTTATGTTTTATCAACGGAGTAAAATTTAATCAAATAAAATAATGCACCCTGCAGCACTTCGAAATTTCCTTTTTGATAACGTTAAATTTTTTATTTCGATTTGAGTCGATTTGATCAGATTAACCAATCAACCGTCGATTTTTTTCAGAGATGAGAAATGATTGAGTTTTGCAAATGAGTTTTACAAAGACGTCAGTGATAACAGGTGAATCCTAACACGATTTAAATAAATCTTGAAATTCCTTAAGGGAAATTGAGCGAGATTTCAGTATGGATATTAAATTATAATTTTATCCGAAATTCCGCAAAGTGGGAGAATTGAATAAAATATAGTACAGCTGAATTCGTCTCATGAAAAGGAATAACCCTCCCTTCGGAAGGGAAGGACAATCCTGAGGAATTTCGGAAATCTTCCCTTCGTTTGAATTTAATTGAACATTCCGACCTTGCCGACGTACCTAGTAACCTAACCTCAGAGTAGAATTGTTTTTATCTTCTCTGAACGCTCCAAACGCTCCAAACACATGTTCCACTGTTGCATGGCATTCCAGATACGTTTCAAACTCTAAAAATGTCCATTTACTGCGGTAAATTATGTTCTGCGATACTAGAGGAGCATTTTGGAACAATCGTCCAGTCAGTGGGCGATTGTTTGTACAAAAATAGTTCACAGGGACTGCATTTTGTGGCAGCAACTGCTGGAATTCCTCTTATCAAGGTAATCATATATTTTTTAATGTATCTCGGAACCTGTCGGAGATAGAAAGATTTTGTCAAGACATATTTCGACGCTCTTGATGTTCTCTACAGAAAATGTATTTATACATTTTTTTGTATCTCTCGTAGATTCCGAGATATTTTCGATATTCAGAGGAATGCTTTTGATTTTTTGGGAATTCATGGATTTGAGGTTTTAGGCGAAAGAAGCTTTATGTGTTCTGATAAAATATGGCTTTGTCTTCCACGAAATGACTGATAAGGGGATGAGGTACACCCTGCTTCCTGATAAAATTATAATGGTCCTTCGATACTCGAGGTAATGGCGATTTTTTTTTTAATGCAGAAATTTTTCAGTCCAGGCATTTTATGGCGTTGTATTTTTACAGATTTATGTTGTATATTAAAAATTGTTGTGGAGATGAAGGAGAGATGATTTTGGAGGAGATACTTAAACAAGGATTTGATTCAGCATCTCATGTTATCGTTAAAACCTACCTGAAATTAGTCCAAAAGCTGGGTGAGACATTAATTCCGTTTTGGAAAGAATTTTTCTTAATTATGGCTTTATCTCGAAAACTCATCATTCAGGGTGAAAACATCACCGGACTTTTCCATAGCTAATTAAATCTACAACAGAAAAGGACTTTTGACATTTTTTCCTGGCATCAATACGTTCTTAGATAAATCCATGTTCGAAGAGTAATAGACTGTTTGTTAATGCAACAAGAGGAAATTTCAGGTGATGCAGCCCCATCAGTGGTTTCACTCAGAGATAAATTCGACTGGCTTGTGCGTAATAAATTTCTGATGAGAAGTAATTGCACCGATGAACTGGGTGAGACCCAGCCAGAGAACGTGGACTTCAGCATGCCAGCATTAAATTTCAAAGCTCTCAAGAATATGATTGAAGGTGCTGACGCAGATGCCAAGGACAACGGCATCAACTGGCGAGTGAATTTTGATAAATTGATTCAGGACCTCAGAGACAAAATGTTCGTGGAGGCAGTTTCCAGGATCGTAGACGAAGATGCTGGTGAGCTGATGAAGCAGATGCTGTTGCTGATGCATGAGAGGACAGCCTCATGGGCAGACACATCCAATCCAATTCCCTACATCGATATCAGGGAGAGAGTGAAGAAGCTGGACATTCCTGGGCTATTCCAGCACCTAGATCAGTACATCAGGCTAATTGAGCAGGACTCGAGGCAGTTTCTGAAACGAGTTGGAGATTCTGGTGGTGGACAATTCAGTGTGAATATCAAAGAGGCATTTGCCCAGCTGGCGTGGGCCACTCTGGAGAACATCGTAATGGAGAGGTTTGGATCAATGGCTGCTAGGATATTCAGGCTCGTCAAGACCAAACAATACATCGAGGTCGAGCAGATCCAGCAGCTCGCCATGATTCCTGCTAAAGAGGCCAAACACCTGACGTTCATTCTGTTTCAAGAGCACTACCTTCAGATGGAGGAGGTGAAGAAGGCTGGGGTTTCCCAGGCACCTCTCAAAGCTTTCTTTCTTTTTCATATTGATCTTAATCAGGTCGTTAGGATGGAGGTGGAGCACTGCTATCAGGCATTGTACAATACCATGCAGAGGAGGGAGCATGAGACTGTGGGTAACACCAGAATGATTGATAAGCAGCTGAGGATTCAGACGTTGATTAGTAATTTGAAAGAGCGAGGGGCACCTGAGGAGCAGTTGGTCGAGGTTGGTTTAGACTTTTTGATCCTTCTTTTCGTTGATCATTTCAGTTTTTTTTAAATCAATTTATTAATTTATGGGACTCTAGATTGAAGAGATGATGACACCAGCTGAGAAACATCAACTGGAAAAGGTGCACAACGTCATAAAAACCTTAGGAGGAGCTGAACTGCAGATAGAAGAAACCTTATTTCTCTTTTCTATGTACCTACACTACCACTAGCTGTAAATAAAATAAAATTCACTTCAATTGAATAAATTATTATAAAAATCAATGGAAACAGGTAATTATTATTTATAGAGATATTTATTTATATTTAATAATAATTGATTACGGTTGTAAAATACAAACAACAAAGAGATACCTAAATTTTAAATTAATAATAAATATAATGATACATTCATGTATATAATGGCGCTGTTTCTCTCTATGCAGTACAGGGCATTTTAATCCTTGTTTTTCATTTCTGATGTCACTATTAACCGGAAAAGTCACTGCCAGAAAATAATCCAGTGAATTTGAATTCCATATCCGACAATTATCGGTGGATAAAGAGTGAATTGCAGTTGGTCACAGCCGAATTGTAATAAAATATTTCCAGTAAACCGCCGAAATCAGTGATAATTAGAGTTAAAGTAAAAAGGGGTAACAGAGTTGAGTATAAAATAGCGAATGATGATATTTTTTTCAGGCCTTGACTTTTCCACTTGTTTTTTTTTTTTTGCTATCTAATCTATTTTTACGGCTCACCTTAACACAATTTTTCCAGTTCATTAATTAATCTACGAATAACTACAATTTTTATTAAACTCGTCTCAATTTTTCATCCAATATTCTTTAAATTCAATTATTTATCATTACAATTTAAATGTTAAGGTGGCCGTGAGAATGTTAATGGCATCAACACGTGCATACAATTATCATCTCTCATATTTTCATTTCTCACACACACACCACTGACCCAGTATTGCATGACTATTTACAATTGCTTACATAAAAGAATTCTAATCGTAACGTTCTTTCCTCATTTCATCGTTTCTACAACTAAATCTGAATGTCAGAAAAGCATTACCCTATGCATATATATATATATGTATATATATATTTTTTTCATTCATTTTTTATATATATATATATGTAACAACAACGTACATGTATGAAGTGAATGCTTGGAATATTGAAATTTTCATTTTAATGTTAGTTTCACTTGTGTTCCTCCTCTTACGTTTTATATTACGATAGTTAGTTGATATAATATATTTGATTTACAGATTTTTTTTTTGTCGCTATTTATTACAGATTGCGTTTTGCACTGATGTAGCCGCTTCATTATTTATTTATTTTTTTTAATTTACTCAGTTATTTTATTAAAGCCTGTGCTAACCGTTACATTGGGGCTCTGTCATTTATCCAAAGTGATTTGTTCAATAAAAAGAGGAAAAATAAAAAAAAGAAGATGAGAACTCACGAGAATTCTCATTGACATGTGCACTCGAATGGAAAAATAAACGGAAGAAAAAGACGAACGTAAATGGGATATTATGGCACATCAATGGATAATTAAAAAATGCAAGATTCGTATTTTATTCCGATCAACCTTTGGAAACTATCATTCCGCGAATGAATATTCACTGGCAAAAAGAAAAGAAAAAATAGATTACGATTGAATGGAATTGTCGCTAGACCTTTGGGCCAATTTCCTCCTCTCATCCCCCTCCACCCCCCTCTCCATCCCGCCCCAACACCTTTTAATGAGTATTTTCTTATCGAATGAACGTTCTAATTTATGCCTGGGTGGGTTTTTTTTTCCAATGGATTTTGAATATATTTTCTTGTGATTGTTTCAATCGTTGCATAGTCGTCACTCTCATTTTTTGTCACTGGCACATACAATCATCCTCTTCGAATTGAAATAGGTACAATTAAAAACGTACAGCTTATCTCTTAAATTATTAACAGTATTAAATCATTAAAGACGAATTAATAAATTCATAACTCCAATTTTTGTTTTTTTTTTTCTCCCTTTTGAAAAAACGATGATAACTAAATATACAGGGGCAATTGAAAATTAATACTAAATATTTTTTGTTTTCTTCTTTTTCGTAATAAAAACTATACCATTTTTTTTTTTAATTCTCTTCAACATTAATGGGGTGAAGGGGGGAATTGGATGTGGAAAAACGAGACTGTTATTTGAGTTGAGATTGTACAGTTGAGGGTCAATTTTGAGGGTCAAATCCATTTGACCCACGCAATTTAACCTCCGAATCTTGACCCTCACCCGTGAGAATTAAATTCCGTGGATCAAGTCGGAGGTCAAACCACCGATTTTACTCAAATCGAGGGTCAACTCTGATTTTGATCGAGGCAGATTGACCCTCAGTCCCAAAATCCAACTTCAATATTTATTTTTGACCCTCAACCTCAATTGACTCATAATTTGACCTTCAGTTTGATCGGTAAAATGAAATCTCTGACCTCGAGGCTCAACTCAATCCCTACAGAGGTCTCCCGATTAAACTCTTCACTATTAACCCCAAAAAATTGATCCTTAACCCACAACTATCCCCGAGGGTCAACTAAATCCCGTTTTTAACCCACACCTTCAGCCACGCCCCTTCAATCTCAACCCAAACAATTGCCCCATTTCACCCCACGCCATCATTCCCCCACCCTTTTACCTATACAAGATGATCGAGTAATTAAACACGTAGAAATCTACGTGCATGCATCACAAGTAATATAATTACACTGTACAATAATATAAACGTCTTGTGGTTGGAAAGAGGAGTGGGGGGGAGGGGGCGGTATGAGGGGACAGAGATAGAGGGCACAGGGTGAACTAGATTCAACCGAACTTAAAAATGATCTCCATTTATATACATAAAATAAATAATTATCGTAAACATTAAGCTAATTAATATTCTTTTTGTTTTCTATCCTCGCGTGCATTCATCCATCGCAATATGTCTACTGGTTCGCTGCCACTCGGATATATCAATATTCGAGGATACTGGCTCTCTTTATAAAATTATATTAGGTACACTTGTTTATAAATTGCACTGACTATAAATAAATGAGAAAGAGAAAACGAAATAATAAAGAAATAATGAGAGAAGTAAGGGTGAAATAGGGATCGATTACATCGAGCTTTTGATTCTAGTGATTTTCTAAGTTATTTTCATTACGATTTCTGGTTTTTTTTTTTTTTCATTTTTTGTATTGCGTCGAGGCCAATGGCGCCTCGGAACTATGGAGATATCGGTTTTTTAATTAATATTAATGACAACAAATTAATTACCCTCTCCGTGTCACCGAAAACGCTATTTGGCACATAAGTAATTATCACATCAAGCTCCCCAAACTTCATCGGTCCTCTGTTCTTCTTTTTTTTTAGTATAAAGAAAACCTAGATAACAAGATAATCGATTTTAATGATCTCTGAATAAATAAAAGATCTTGTTCATTCGCAGTCATCTCTATTGTACTCTTCACGCTAGCTCATCCAATCGATAATGATATGAGATTCAATAAATAAATGATAAAAATACTATAAGTACTAGGCGTTTAGCATGGAGTTGTTTTCATACACTTGCGCATCACTACCGTGGGACAGGGAGCGCGACTTTTAAAGATGGCGAATGATTGTGATGACGAGGACATCAGCCGAATGGGTTTTCCGTATCTCGATTGAAAGCTCAAGTTCTTTCACTTATCGCAGTGTCACCGGTTTAATCATCCATTTCTCTAATCGTTATTCACTCTTTTATACAAAACATCCTTTCGATATTGAATGCTGATCACTTTATCGATGGCCTTGTGTAATTTGGCAATCTGAGGATGTTAGCCCCTCAGGACGAAATCAGAAATTAAAATGAAAAACTGCCACGATGGCACCGGGTGCTTGACGAATCGAATCCTTAAAAACAGTCCTTCGAGTTCGCTTGATTTGGCACACCATGATGAATCCCAGTTGAAGGATTTGTATTGATCTCTACCAGAAGAGTTCACGTGCGTGATAAGTTCTTGGTGCTCCGGGTCGACAGGCTGGGTGACCCGGAGCTGCGGTTCAATCCTCGTCATGATGCCTTGGACTAGCGTCATAGCCGCCGATGGAGCCTGAATTGTCCGGTGAGAAGTTCATCATGTCAGAGGGTGATAGACTGTCGTGCGGATAGTAGAATGAGGAATGATCCTGGCTTGGTCCAGCTGTGCCATTCAGCAGAGAAGCTGGTGGTGATACAGAGGGTCGTGCTGAGGGACCTGGACCAGCAGGATGATGCTGTGATCCCATTTCGCTACCCACAGGTGACAAAAAAGCCATCTCAGGTCCACCGTCTCTGCACCAGAGCTGTCGCATCTCTTGTCGTCTCTGTCGCATCAATGACTTGTACTCAGAAATTCTCATCTTCTTACCGTCCACGATGCACGTTCGCTTTGGACGAGGACGATACCTGTAGTCCGGATGCTTCTCCATGTGTAGTTTTGATAAGCGTGACTGCTCCTCGTAGTACGGCTGCTTCTCAGAATTGGACATTCCTTTCCACCTTGCACCAAGGATCTTTGATATGTTGGAGTTGTGCATGTCGGGGCAGGCCTTCAGAATTTTCCTTCTCTCGTCCTTCGCCCAAACCATGAATGCATTCATCGGCCTCTTGATATGTGGCTTGTTCTCGTTCTCTCTCTTCTGCTGTCTCACCATCTTTGCTTTTTCGGTATTATCCTCAAGGACTTTGTAGGATTGATCTCGCCACAGGTGTGGTGATGACAGGAAGTCTTGTTCCTCTTGGGTTGGCTCCTCTCGACTGCTTGAGTGTTTCATTGGCCGTTGAGATTGCGGTGACGAGGGAATGGCATTGGCACTTGGTGGCAGACCGTACATTCCGTGCATAGCGAAGCGCTTCTCAACAGCTGCAACTGCTGCTGCTGCTGAACCACCAGCACCAGGCTCTTCCTTTACCATTACCTTGCCCATTGGTGATGATAGAGTACTCAGGTGAGGTGGTAGACCACCATAAGGAAGGGAAGGAAGGTAATTTCGGGGGATAGGAAGACCTGGGGGAAAGAGTTTGGGTGCTGTTGCTGCTAGAGGCTGTTCTTGTTGACCACTGCTACCTGCACCCGTCGAGTGTGAATCACTCCCCGGTGATGATGAGGCTGTTGCACCTGATGACGATGATTTTGGTTTTGTCAGATTTAGTGGAGCGTCCGGGTCTTGGAGGGGCGGCGCTGTCGGCGCTACCGCTGATGAGACCGGCGTCGGTGAAGTCTCTTTGTCCATCTGCGTCGTCATCTGGGCTAGGTGCGCCGTTGCCCAGCTTTGAGTCTCTCTGTGGCTACTTATCATCTAGAAAATTGAAAGAAATCATTGAAAATTCACATTCTTCGTTAATTTACCACAGCTGGAGTGGAATTGATTTCAGGGATGAATTGACAAGCTATCAATACGTTCGAGTTGTATTTGAAACCCGAGGTCGTCTTTTGACTAACATGGGATTACTATTAGAGAATTGAATAGCCTGATGGCACTTACATTAGCTATTGAATTGATATGCTTATTTCCGGTGGTAGTTGACGTGGGTGGTGGCATAGTAGACGATACTGGTAAACCACGTAGTTGCTCGAGAAACGGCAGAAACATGAGTGATTGAGCGCTTGGCATACTCAATTGTCCCTTTGTTATCTGCGCCTGAAGCTCTTGTATATTATTGTGATGCTGCATCATGTGCTCCTGCTGTCTCTTCAAGTGTTCACTTTGTAACCGCTGCATCTCCATTTGCTTCTGCGAGTCAACTGGCAAGTGACTTGGATACGTCTGCAATATTCCAACAGAAACAAGAGATTGCAATTAGAATTCCAACCAGTTGAATTATCAAAGGACTTCAAGCTCTATATTCATAAGGTAGAAATTATTTCATATTGTCGAATGTTCATTCAAATTCGGGAGAGCTGGAGGAGTAGTATACATCACAACGAGCTATAAATTGATTTCTTTTAAATAGTAATACAAATCAAAAAGAACTACAAATCAATTTAAAAAACAATACGAATCAAAAAGAACTACAAGTGATTTTTTTTCACGGCAATACAATTTAAGAATAAATTATAAAATATGTGAGTAATGAAGGAGCTATAAATTGATTTAAAAAAAAAAGCAATACAAATCAAAAAGAACTACAAATCATTTTGAAAAACAATACAAATCAAAAAGAACTACGAATGATTTTTTTTTTTCAAGGTAAGAAAATTTAAAAATAAATCATAAAATGGATAAGTAATGAAGGATTTTCGAGCACTTCAGAATAACGAAATAGCAAATGATAATTGCGAGGGTCCCTGTCCTGTCCTCTCTCTTCATCTGGCTGTGATCCAGATATGCATGAAGTTTAGGATCTATTTTAGTCGAATAAGGAAGACGTTTATTCATACAGTGGAGTGGCATACCCGACTCTGCCACGGTTACTACAAGTACCCCCCGGATTCACTGGAGAATTTTTCCATGAAAAATGATGATTGGTCACTGCCGATCGGATCAACTCAAGATTATCATGATTTCCATGACTCACTATGTACTGTGGAATTTAGGCAATGGCAACGTCGATTGATTCACTGAGTGCGGGCATTTATTGGTGGAAGAGGGCACCCAGTGATGCAGAAGTCGATGAGGACCGAAGATTCATTATTCATCGGGCACGCACGGGCCTCTCAGTTATGCCGATGATACGTATCCATGACAGCTATACCGCCCACAGTGGCTAAATATAAACAGGCGGGGTGCCAAGCAAGTTCCATTCACATTCACGTATATACACTTGTGCATTTTGGATGGTAGGCAGTGGGGCAACTACCATGTTTCTGTAATTCCGTCTTACTCCCCCGATTCCCTTCGTCTCCCTCATCTCATGAGGTACTCACAGAGTTTTAGTCAGGCAGAGGGGCATATAAGAAGATGAGGAGGCCCGTTCTGAATATGCATTCGCGCATTCACGCCAAACTGCAACTGCTGCATCCCAGGGGCTATTTTAGCAACGCAATTACCGAACATATGAGTGTGGATCGATGTCAATGAGTCCTCAGGGGGGAAAAACATTTTATTGTTCTTTCCCATTTCGCTGTTTTTTCTCGGGTCCACAATTTTCCGCTTCCCGAATTTTTGGAGTTCCCGATTTGAGAAATTGGAATGTTTTTTCATGTGACATATCGAATTTCAGAAACAGAAAGAATTTAATTAACGCGTACTGTAATCATTCTTATCTTTCCTAATTTCTGTTACACCTGCATTGAGAAAAAAAATTACTTTTCCCAAGAATATTTTCTTTCCACCAGTAAATCTGGCGATCACTGTGTAAATACTCCCATAAGACTTACTAATGCCAAATATATTTTCTTGTGGTTAGTAAATATTCTAGACTAAAGAACATGTTTTTCTCATTGTGTTGTCTTTTTTGATATTGCCGAGGGGTAAAACTCCCCGCGGGATTTTCTCTTCCAGAATATATTTGAGAGAAAAAAAAAGTGCCTCGCTATATTTTTCCCTCAAATTCGCAATATTTGAAACCAAATTTGAAGGATAAATGAAGAAAATTCCCACTGTTCATGATTATTCTGATAATAATTCTGATTTGCACCCACACACGAAAAAGAATGTTAATTTTTCTATAGATTGACTGAAAAAATCGTTTGAAATTAGTTATACTTGTGCATTGAACGTGAATTTTGAAAGCCGTACAAATATTCCATCAATATTTGCTGTAGCATTATGACAAACCAAATAATAAAAAAAATGAAAAAAAAAAAAATGATTTATCAATGGTCAATCTCGCTGCTATCAGGGTCACGATATAATAAACCCATGACGCAAGCCATCATCCCAAACGAAACAAAGTGGAGCTTTGTGAACCCCAGTGAGACAACTCCCCAGCAAAAGCCCAACACTGAACCAAATAACACTCGGATGAATAGAGTGGATACACATGTATACCAGCATTACATCCATCAGAGTAGTCAGCAGTCGGCAAGCGCAATATTGTGACTGATAATCAGAAAACACCAAAGGGAATTATTAATATTCCCGCTTTTCGAGAAAACCGCGGTACAAACCCCCAGCACCAGTGCAACTCGTTCACTGCGTATGTGCAATTTGTTTATTCACGAATGAGTTTATGGGGGGGGGGGGGAGGGGCACAGAGAGTGGGGGGAAAAATATCAAAAGGTTTGAGAGACGACGAATGGATAATAAACATACGCCGATAAAGATATCCGGGAGCATCTCGTTGTGTATACAGACAACTGTAGCAACCAAAAGACGATTCTCTGATCTATGATTATGGATTCCTTGATGTTTCTAGGCGTCAAAGGCATAATGTAGCGATTCAGAGTGGAGGTTGTCCAGGAAGAGAAAGGTTTCTGAGAAAATTTTTCATTACTGATAAATCGATTTTTGTTTATCAATTCGAGATCGAATTGTTATTCCAGTTTTGTATAATGGATAATGCAGAGAAAATTCAGGTAAATTAAATTTATAATAATATCATGTTAACAATATACCACTGGCGTTATTTATTTAAAAAAAAGGCTTGAAACTATATTGTAATATGTTTTTAATATAATTATTTATCTTTGAAGTAATTAATTTTTTAGATTGTCATATTTTGAAGTTGAAGCATAAATTATTACTGCTGTAGGTATATAAGTCATATACATATGTAATTTGAGTAAATATATAGTATATTATAGAGAAATATAAATTTTTATAAAAATTTCTTTTTGTGGTGTATCCGTTTGGGTTTTTCTTCCCCTTTTCCTTTTATATGCCCGTACTCTATTTACTCTATGTACTCATCTATGTACCAAGGAACCTTACCCTGAGGAGAAAACTGTCGGTCAGGTCCAGTCCGACTCGACAATGAAATCGAGAAATTAAAAACATCAGAAATCGGTACCGACGATCGGTACCAAAATACCAGTGGTATTTTATTTATTATATTTAAAATGTTGTAACAAATAGATAATAAGATATAATAATAACCAATGATTGATTAATTAATTAATTAATTAATTAAAAGCCCCAGATAACTGAAATATTATAATTCATCAATTCCAGATATTTCCATTGCCCGGAATTCTTTTCGGAGGAGGGAGTAGTGTAACTAATAATTAATTTTCCAAATTGTATTCCATGATTAAGATATTCCTTTCATTCTCGTCGAATCTGTCCTCTGAAGACATTATCTTTGTTATTGCTATGATGTTCTGTTAAAAATGGTGATAATTTTCGTTTGACCTGAATTTTTAAAAAGGGAGAAATGAAAATTTCCTTGGAGATGATTTTTAGTTCGGCGACTGCAAAAGGCGCTTGGATATTCTCAATGTCTCGGAAATGCGTCAAGTTGTAATTCACTGGAGGCAAAGGGACACTCATCCGATTAAACTGCATCAAAACCTCAACCCACAATCGCACATATCCACCAGACAGACAGGAAATAAAAAATAATATGTAAGCCGACGAGCACATCGAGTCAGCCGTCAGAAGGATTATTGTCTTCGACTTCTTATCTCCATGGCGTTATGTGGGAAAAAAGTAAGGAACTCCCTGGGGAGAACTCTCTTTTCGTCTCTTCGATGCGATCGCGTCACCTCGGGGCAGAGGGATTCGGATAGCGAAAGTATTTTATCTTTTATGTCATCTCTATTTTTCCCATTCTCTCGCTTTCTGTTGGCTCCACCAATTGCAGGGCAACCTTGGAGGACGAAAAGGGAATTATCTGCTAGGTTAAGGTCTTTTATCCGACGCTAATTCTGCTCCGTCCGGATCTCGCGTGAAGTTGGCGGCGAGATGAAGTCCGAAATTTTTACTGTTTACTAAATTAATCAAATCATTTGCGAGGCTCGAATTCGTGAATTACGGGTCTTAAATAGTTTTATTCGGATTGGAATTAATTCCAGAATATTGTCTTTATTTCCAGGGAAAATCGAAGGGAGAATTTCGGTTTGAAATTCTGTTATTGAAGATGAAAAGAAAATTGAAATTGTACCGCCATTTTGGAGGTCTGGAGGACCTAAAATGGGTGATTATCCACTACTTGAAGTTGCTCCATTCGTTGCTAATGCGGATTGGTCCGGAAAAGGTGTGAAGTTGACAGCGCCAAAAAGCCCGGGATTTTCAAAATTTTCAAATAAAAAAAAATCATTTAAGAGATTGGAACGCATAAAATACGAGTTTAAAATGGCAACTTGCGGATTACAATTGAAATCACCAGATATTCTCTTAATTTTCAGGGGAAAGTAACCAGAAAATTTTGAATTCAATAAAAAATTTCGGCATATCAGAGGAAAAAAATTGAAATTCAGAGGAAATGATGAAGGGCAAGCCACAGAAGAGAGACCACAACGAAGAAAGGGTTTGTTATACGCAGCCACGTGCATCACCGGCATTATTCTCAGTTGAAGTGGATCCTCTGGTGGTCCCTCCACCAAGTAGTCTTGCCTCGTGACTTTATTCTTGCGGGCGCGTGCAGCACATACAAAATTAATTAAAGTCTCAGCGGATTGAGGGGGTGGGGCCGTTTATATTGTGACCCCATCGCTGGGGCATAAAAAATAAAATAAAAAAAAGGGGGTGACAGAGGGCCGACCGGGGCATTGTAGCTCGATTCTTTTTTTCTCCTTTATTCCTCGCGCTAACATCGCGGTAGATTCAAGTGCTCGAGTGCAAAACCGCGCCCTTGTTAAGAATTAATCACTTTCTAGACGCCACAGAGCCAACACTGCGATGGATGGATGGATCCCCGTGTTATTTTAATTGTAAGCAAATTA